AAAAATAAACTATAATAATTATTATTATTTATTATATATATATATATATATATATATATATCTACTTACCTTTATTGTACTTGCTATTATTGTTTTTATATAATTTACAGAGTAGCATTCATCTACAAATTTATCCAATAAAGTGTGATAAATTTTATTCATTATTTGTTTGATTTCCTTGTTCTTATTATCATTCTAAGAAATATAATTATAGATATAATTACAATTAAAATATCTCAAAAATTCGGAAATAACAAATGTCAAATGAAAATGTCCTTACTTCTTTCAATTCTTTAGTATCTGTAATTTTTTCAGTAGTACTACATTCTTCAGAAAGCTTAAGCATTTTATCTTCCAATATTGTTATTTCTTCTTGATATTTGCTATTAAGTTCTTTTGTTTCTTCCAAATTTTTTTTCATGTTACAAAATGCAATATTGGAATCTTTTAGAGATACATTTAACTCTTTAATAATTTTATGCAAGTTTTCATTATCTTTTATTAAAAATTCTTTTTTAGCTTCAAGATCTTTTACTTGTTCTATACAAAATACACTCAATTATTACATATTTGCATATATATTTTAACGCGCAACTAATAATATGTAAGTACTCATATTACCTTTTGCCTGTTTTAATTCTGTTTCCAATAAGCTCATTCTGTCTTTTATTTCATTTAACTCTATAAAACTATCACTAGTTATATCAATATTTTTAGGTAATTGACTATCCTTTTCTCTAGATGTATCCATAGCTAATAACATTTTCAAGGTAGCATCTAAAGTCGTTTTATCTTTTGTAGGAGTTGTAGCATTTTGAATTTCAAGATGATGAAACTATAAAAGATACATAATATCTTAATAAATATTATACAATTTATTCGATAGATAGTATGTACCTTATCCAATAATTTTTGTACATTATCAGCTATCTTAGACATTCCCATTCTGAGTTCTGCATTGGTCATTCTAGTTTCAGACAATAATATATTTAACCCTGGATCTATTATTGTTGGTATTGTTGAAGTTACAGTTTGTGATTGTAATGAATATATCTGACCATTCAAGGTGACAATGTTTGGCTATAATAAATCTAAATATTAATTTTAAAAAATGCTAATTATCGTTTATAAATCAATTTTTCGAAAAAAAATTTAATTTATATACTTGTATTTGTGTAGGAGACCATTGAGGAGGAGTAAATACAGATGAATTAACAAAAGATTTACAAGGAGTATTTGTTGTCGATATTTCAGTTTTTAATTTTGATTTCTTATGTAAATTTTCCACTGGAGAATGTTTCTTTTGTAGTTCTTCTTCTGACGATTCTATCTACAATGAAAAAAAAATTATTAAATTAAGATAAATTAAATTAGAAATATAAAATTAAATTATAAATATGTTAATTAAAATTACATTTAATATTCACTTACCTTCTTTTGAATTTGAAATTTATTCGATACATCATCCTACAAATGTATATCTCATTATTTTTAATATAATTAAATATATTTAATCATGATTTTATTCAATTATATACATATTAATTAACATAATTAGATTAAATTTATACTTGAATATACCTCAGTATCTTCAGAATCTGTAGTGGTAGATGTAGGAATTTTTGGTAATATAGATTGTCCCATTTTAGCCATTCTTGATATAATAGAAGCTTTACCGCTTGTAATTGTATGCGAATGGACAGTTTCTGCAGATGATTGTATATCTATTACTTCTACTTCTAATATAATATCTTTTTCTTTAGGAAATCCTGGTCCCAAACTAATCTGTAAAATAAATAATGTTTAAAATACATATATTCATAATTCGTTGGTATTTCTTTAAAAAATTTCATGTAAAACCTGTTTATTGGAGGTACAAATAAAATTCGTTTTAATCCTTTATTACTTTCTAAAAAAGTTCTTTCCCAATTATCATCCATAGATATTTCCACCGTCATTGTTTGAAATGTTATAGGAATATTTTTAAGGGGTTGTGTTATTTCTGTTACAATGAAATATTTGATAAATATGTTATCTCCCTCTTTTGCCATTACGTCTTTATTAACAGGTGATAAATCCTGATAAAGTACATTTTCTATTTTTTTATTTTCTGAAAAATATCGAGCTAATCCTACTTCTTTAGCAAATTCTATACAGACATCATTATTTTCAAATAAAATTGACCAGTTTTTATTATTGCTATCATAATAACTCGAATAATTGTTTGGTTGTATAATATATAAAAAGTTAGGTGTCACAGTAACAACTGACACATGTTCTTGTTTGCTTTTATATAAAATAATTTGATATAATTTCGACGCAAAATTTCCTGTAAGAGCTATTCCAAGTTTTCCAATTGAAATATAAGCTCCGTTTTGTCTACAAATAACATTAATTATTATATGGAATATGAAAATGACAATTACAAAAAATAATAATAACAAAAAAATTCAATATAAAAACTTACAATTTAAATGCATGAACTGCTTTAGCTATTATAACTTCTGTTTTATTTGAAATTGTTTGAGTTAAAGTACGTGGTGCATTTAATTTTTTAGAAACTTGTTTCGTCGAAGAACCACTATCTAATGTTTTAGTTTGTAATCCAAAAATAGCAGCTAAATTCGAGCTAGAAAATAATTATATATATATATATGTATGTGTGTGTGTGTGTGTGTGTATTTATCATAATATTATCATTCTTTACAATTATTAAATGATATTAAATATGTAAAAATATCAGATAAAGATTAAAATGGAAAAATATAACCTTACTTTAAATAGTCTTTTTATATAAATATAAAATATATAGATATATTTTTTTAACAACATATGTACGATACATAACTAAAATTAATAATTTGTAAAAACATACCCTGCTGCTGGAAAAAAATCAGATTCATCATCATCGCGTAAAATTTTATCAAGATTTGGTATTTGATTTCCTACATTCATGTTTGAATTAAATTTTTTAGGCAAAAAAATTTTTTTTAACACTAAAATAATAACAAAAATATAAATTTAAACTATTTATAAATACAAACACTTAGTAAATGACAGTTTGTTACTTATACAAATTAAGTAAGTAGATAAACAATACTTACATAATTAATAAAATTATTGATAGATGGCGTGATAAATTTCGTTGATAAAAAAGAACTTGATAAAATAGAAAAAGCATAGAAATTTATTATGTATACTATGTTAAAGCATAGAAATTTATTATAAAAAATGCAAAATGCAAAATAGAAAAAAATATATAAATAATCGTAATATTAAATTATTTACATTTTATTTAATTTAGATTATATACTAAAATTTATATAATGAATATTAAGTATATTATCATTGTAATTAGTAGACGAAAAACGTGAGTTAGACGTGAGACATGACATCTTACGAGATTATGCGTTACATGATTCAACATTGACATCACGAAAGATCAGTGTTTTTTTGTACCAAGAATCTAGCATAATCTAAATATAGGTGTAAGATTAAATCATTTAAAAAATACAAAATAAAAATGTATACTTATGCAACGTGCTCAAAAAAATCCATTCAAGATTCATAGCATACTAAAAAACCTTGATAAATACAAGAAAATTCAATCGTTTCTAAGATATAATTCTATCAATATTTTATATTTCTATTATGAATGAAAATAAAAGATAATTAATAGTTAAAAAAAAATAAATAAATAAATAATGAAAAGAAAATAAACAAAACGAACAATATCTTTTATGCATGCAATTAGTTCTAAATATTAGAAGAATGTAATTGGTAACAGTCGAATGTTCACACGAACCATGAAAATATGCAAGATTAAAAAACAGTCTTATTAAACGTTATATGTTAAAGACTTTTTTAATGTCCAAAATCCATTTTTTCACACTTTAAAAAATCATTTAATGATAACTGCAAAGAGGCACGTGGCAATGTTTTGGCCGTAAATATAGAAACCGCAGCATGTATCTAAATATATATATCTAATACAAAAATCGACGACTGTTGAAGCGTGCTTTTTTAATTAATAAAACATACTTTTTTACATTACGGAAGAATCCGCAATAATTTAACTATTCCTACATATATTCTACATAATCAATATTTTTCTATAATGAAATCTTCTGCTCTGAAATGAAATCTCTATAAAGAAAACAAATTTAAATATTTTATATTATAAACTATAAACTTTAATACACACTAAAACATTTTAAACGTCCTATCTATTTTAAAAATTCTTTTCATATTTCTAATTTCTATATAAGAAAAATTTCTATATAAATAAAATTAAATCGTTTATAAATCCTGCTTATTAAAAATCTAAAAAATTCTTTTCATAATTTATTATGAATTTTATTAACATTCATAAAAACAATTTTTAAAGCACATATAATACATGGAAAACATAAATGACGATATAGAATTTAGATTAATGAATGAAATCACATAATCCAACTTATCCAAAAAACTAAATCTTTCTTTGATCCTATCTTGTATATATATCACTAGAGTTTATATATATAAATATGCAACTCATCTTGTACATTTATACGTGAATTGAATGTCACTGGATATGATCGTTGTTTTAATTCTGTTTTGTCTTCTCTTCTTTTTGAACCGCCGTAAAACACAATATAGCGATCTCAGTGTAGTATAGTAGAACAAAAGCATCGATATGACCCACATCTATATAACACAGTTTATTCCTATTTCCTTTATTAAATATATTCTTTATTTTAATCAAATCACTTCATAATCTATTTTCTAATAATAAATGTATAAAACGTATGAATGTATTAAATTGATCGTATTAAAATAAACTAATTAAAATAACAATAATCTAGTTGAAATCTTACTTTAGAAATTCGTAATATGAACTAATAATAATTCTATTGATTAAATAGATGAATAAAAAAGAAAGTAATTAATAATTATAATAATATTCAATAAATAATAAATATTCAACAAACGGATATTGAAAAAATAATATAAAAAACAAAAAAATAATTATTAAATAAATATTATGGAATAACCTTGTCACATGGTTCTAAAGAAAAAAAAAAACATCTAATCATCATAAATTTTGGTAACAGAATGACGTAAGTACTTATTTCGACGAATTATAAATTAGAAAAGGGATAATTCGAGAAATGAGAATGTGTAGAGCGTGATACCAATACGAATTGTCAATTTTACTATATTATAAGTATAATAAGAAAATATATTATAAGAAATTGTTTTTGAACATAAAATCAAAACAAATACAGAAATA